AAAAAAAAAACAGCGACAAACAACAACCAACCAAAACAACAACAACAAAAAAAAGTACTTCTACGGGAGGAAAACAACGGCGCGTCGCTTGATCCTATTCCGTCTCTCGCGGATGTGCCTCAAAACACCTACGCCTTATGTCCTGCGGAGATATATGCGTGTGGGTATCGAAATATAAACACAGGCCACAACTACACTAGTCAGATCTCTACAAGAGTGCTTCACTTCTACGTGGGGGGTCTCTGCAATAAAAGAAATAAATAAATAAATCACAACAGGAGATGTGGAGAGACATAGTGATACGACGCAAGGGAGGGGGCGAAGAGCATGGAAGAGCGCAGCACAAGCGCGCACGTACAATCTAAAGACAAATCTGCACTCATTCAGCGAGTAAACAAAACAAAAAAAATCTCCCTCACGCCCTTTTCGCTTCCATACTCTTACATACATAAAACCGGGAAGTACGCACACGTCATTTCCCCTCCCCCCCCTTCCCACGCCCTCACATCACGAGTTGCTGCAGCTGCTCCTCCGCCTTCGCCCGCAAGACCTCATTCCTGGTGAGCCGCACCACCTCCGTGTACATCTCCTTCGCCTCGTGCTGCTGACTCTTCTCGATGGCACCAGCCAAATAATACATGGAGGTGCAGCTCGTCGCTGATGTCGCACGTCCAGCCTCCCGCTCCACAGCGAGCGCCTTTCGCAGACAGACCTCGCCTAACTTGAGACGTGAAGCACGCACAAGGTCGCGACCAAGCTCCGTGAGCAGTGCGGCATCGGCAAGTCCCCGTGCAATGGCCTGCTGCAGCACCATCTCCAGCTCCACACGCCCCTTCTGCAGACACACCAGTGAGAGGTACGCCCACGTGCGCGGGTTTGTGTTGTTGAGCGTGTTGGACTCGCTGAGGCACTCTTCGGCAGCGTCCATCTTGTGCATGCGGTAGTACGTGATGCCGGCACCGAGCCACATCAGACTGCATGGCCACGCCTGAATGCCAAGGGTGAAAACGCCGAGCGCGTCGCTATAGCGACCTGCCGTGATAAGAAGGTTACCGAGGTGAACGTAGCTGGGGCCGAAGCGCCGCAGTGGCCTCTCTCCGTCGCGGCAGAGCACACGCTTGTACTCACGTACTGCCTCCTCGCTGCGGCCGAGCGCAGCGTTGCAGTCCCCGCGCATAATGGCCACCTCGTCCGCGTACACCTCAATCCCTTCCGCAGTCTTCAACAAGGCGAGTGCGTTCTCGTACTGCTCACACAGCGTGAAGAGCCGCGCGTACAACATCTCCGTCTTCGCACCTGCGCGGCATCGTGAGAGACACACGTTCGCCAAGTCAGGATGGCGCAGATCTAGAAGGTGCTCCGAGACGGCGAGATTCACCTCGTTGAAGTCCACCTCCTCTGTGGCGTTCATCGCTTCCTTCATAGCCAGCGCCCCTTCACGCTCCCAGTAGGCGCGCTTTGACTCATACTGCGGCCCCTGCGTCAGCGACAGAACGCGCAGGTCGCATAGCAGCGAAATGTGGCCCCACGTCATCGCGCTCGGCTCCGCATCCGCGGCAGCATGCAAGAAGACCGCAGCCTCGTCAAATCGACTGTAAGCGAGGAGGAGGTCACCGTAACCAAGAAGAGAGGGCACGTGCGTGGGGTTGTGAGCAATGGCTTCGCGGTAGCACTGCTCCGCCCTCGCCGCATCCCCGACACGCACAAAGAAGGCGGCCGCATCGTTCCACACAGCAGGGAAATCACCAGAGTTACTGCAGCTGGCAATGCGTGCCTGGTGGCACCGCGCTGCGTGACCGTGCTCGCGCAACGTTTCCGCCTCCTCTGCACGCTCTAACCATGTGCGCCCTGTGACACCTGCGTCTTGCTCCAGCTGCTGCTCCTGTTGAGTTTCCACCTGCATAAAAGCCCCACCCCCATCGCTTCTGTGGCCTGCTCCCAAATCTTCCGTCATGCGGCGCAGCGTGGCATGCACGCAGTCGAGGAGGTAGACGTACAACTCATTTGTGAGCTGACTGATGAGCTCTGGTGAGGCGCCGGGCTCACGAAGGAACTTCTCCCGCACCACCTTCACCACCAGAGGCGTCAGCTGCTCCTTGTATGCCGCAAGCTGCCCTGTGGTCTGGAATGCCTCGAATAGCTGCTCCTGCGTCTTCCCAGCGCCCTTTTCCTCCGCCACAGCAAAGTCGCGCATGATTTTTGCTGCAATCATCTTCACGGCATCCTTGAACTGCTGTGTGCTGTCCTGGTACTCCCTCTTCGGTGGTGCTCGCGTAGGGATGAGGCTGCCTGGTGTCAACAAGGGCCGCACACGATCGCTTGCCAACCGCGTGAGTGTCTTCTCGAGGTGCAGCGAGACCGTCGCCGCGGTTCCGTGCGTCACGTACGGGTGCGGCGACTCCGTGTCGATTTCCTCCAGTAGAAGCCCCGGTGCGCCCGACTTGGGGCGCTTCGCCGCCTTCTTGCGCCCCTTCTCCTCTATGTGGGTGACGTCCTTCACTGGAAGCAGTGGCACCGATTCCGTCAGGTCGAGCGAACCAGGCTCGGCGAAGGGAGAGAGGTCGACGGGGATGCTGGCTCGGAAGTAGCACTCCTGTGTGTCCTCCCAGTCGCTCGGGGCGCCGCTCTTCAGCACCCGCACAAGCTGCAGCTCCAGCGGCCGGCCCGATATCATCATGGCTTCCAATACCGCAACGTGCTGCTCCTCGAGCGGGACGCGAATCACACACGGCGGGGTATCCTCTTCAGTGGGTAACGCAGGGGGCTGCACCTCCTCTGTGGCGGACGTGGGCAGCAACTTCTTCCGCCGCTTCGACCCCTGCTCTTCGGCACTGGGGGGTGGGACGTCCGTCGCCGGCGTCACCACCCACAATATCCGCGCCTCTATCGCCGGCGCGTCTTCTGTCGTCTTCTTCTCGCTCGCCAACGTCCCCACTTTGGATGACGTGGCGCTCGCCAGCGTCGGATTCTCAGGGACCTCGCGGATGTTGCGCAGCATTGCATTCATCGACGACGGCAGCGGCGGCGGCATGGCCCCCTCGATGTACGACGCATACTGTGGAAGCACCTGCAGCAGGCGGCCGTGCGTGAAGGTGAACTTCGTCTCCCCATCAATGCTGAAGCTCACCTCATAGCGGAACGGGTGGTCGGCGTAGGCGGGCGGCTTCCCATCCTCCCACCAGTTGGGGGGCAGGTTGTACACGCCATGCAGCTTGACATCTATGTAGTTCACTGCCGTTGCCGACTCCACTGCGTCGTCGGCCATTCTGCGTGGTTGCTGGTTGAAGATAAACACAAAAGCAAAAGCAAAACAACAACAAGAACAACAAGGAAGAGGCCTGCTAGTTCCGGAGAACCGAGAAAGGGGGGTTCCCACAGCAAGGGAGACACACAGAGTGCCCCACTTGGTGAGAGCCCACAAGAGTAAAGGGGGACCGAACGAAAGAAAAAAGAAATAGAGAAGGCACAATAATAGCAGCAAGAACCACCACAACAACGGAGAAGGCGTTAATTCCAACGCACTCCATCTCACGATGTTGCTGCATCTCAACGGAGGCACAGAGCACCCATTCAATTAAGGTGCAGTTGAGACCCGTTTTCGTTTTTTCCTCCTCGCTTTCCCACCACCCCGCCGTTATTCATGCGGTGCCGAAAGGAAGCAGCCAAAAAAAAAAGGAAAAATTTCCAAATGCAACCCTGAGCGCAGGTGCAGCGGTGTAGTTCACGGAGGGCGTGCAGACCCGCCTTTGTCTGCCTGCCTGCCTGCCTGCCTGTGTGGGCGGTTATCTTTTTGTTTTTTTGTGTGTTGTTATTCTCTCCCTTTCTTCTCTCACGTGCTCGTTCTCCCCTCGCCATCCGGTTAGGTCGTTTAAACTCACCTTAAGCCTTTTCCTCTGGTTTTTTTTTGTTTTCCTTTCCCATTATGCGTTGGCTATTGGGGCCACTCACCGCGGGCCCACGCCTTACCCTCCCGCTCTTCGGACCCCCTTTTCTTCTGCCTCTTGCTGTTGCCGCACATTTAGTCTCGCCCCCGCACACACACACAAAGCGGGATGGGACTGCAGTATCATGCACACAAACACAGAGGGACTCAAAGGCCAAGAGGGGCGCACGCAAAGCGCACATCACTTCTTTTTATCGCGTGGGCGCTTCTGCCCACGTCCGTTGCCGCGGCCACCGCGTCCTCCACGACCACCGCGTCCGCCACGACCGCCGCGTCCCTGCGTGTGGTTCTTCGCCCGATCCGAGATCTCCTTCTCAACATTCTCCAGCAGCTGCTTCTCCTCATCCTCCTCGAGCTTCTGCACCTCCGGCTGTTGGCCGTTGTGCGTCGTGCCTCGCTCCTTGAGATCGGCCACCATCTTCTCGCCCGTCGCGGCGTCCTGAAAGATGAGCAGCGCCGTCTCTTTGTCCGGCATGAACACGTAGCGCACACCCTTCTGCTCTTCCACAGGCCACAGGCTCTTCACGCTGCTGAAGGTCTCAATCGTGCCACAGCCAGCGAGGCGGTAGCTGCTGTTCAGCGGCATCGACGGCGACTTCTTCACGTCCGCCGCCTCTCCGTCCGCCGACTGCTGATTCTGCTGCCGCTTCCGACCCTTGTTCTTCGCCGCAATCTCCTCCGCCTTCCGCTCGAGGTATGCCGTCTTCATCTCGGCGGTGAGCTGCACCTCGTTGTAGGTCGGTGGCGCCGCCTGGAATTTCTCCGCCTCTTCCTTCGTGCTGAACACTACAAACGCAGACGGCTTTGTGCGGCTCTCCGGCGCGGCATCCTTCTTCCCTGGGAAGTAGCGGCGCCACACCGCCTGCACGGCACCGTACTGACTGAAGAATGCCTTAAGTTCCTCCAGTGTTGCGGTGGGAGGCACGGGCTTCACGTAGACCGTCTGGTGGTCCGTCTGTATGGACTCTGGCAGCGGCTGCTTGCGCCGCACACTGAGGCTGTCCTCACTCAGCACTAACTGCTCACTCGGCCGCAGCGCCGCCGCGAGTGCCGCGACGTCCTTCGTGAGGGAATTTACGCGGTTGAATGTCAGCAGTGTTTCTAACGAGACGAAGCCCTCCGCATTCTCAGCCATCTTGGCCTTCAGGAAGACGTCCCTCTGGATGTTGACATCGCTGAAGTAGAACTCCACCTGCCGCTGCAACTTCTCCTGTATCTCCTGTGAAAGCGTCATTGTACTTCGCGTCCTTTCTCGTTGTTAGAATCGACCCCTGGGCTCCCCTTTCCGCATATGCACAAACATGCATGCGGGTATATGTTTGTGTGTGTGTGTGTGTGCAAAGAAGAGGAGGAGAATGAGTGACAAAACGCTAACAAAGGTGTGACGACACATTTTCCACACACTACTGCAATCCGCGACACATCGCATGGGGCGTCGCACGAGCAAAGAAGAGGAGTGCAGGTGACGCGAAACGTTTCTCTCCCCCACCTTACGCACAGGCACAGACACAGACGCACAGAGACGTTTTCACACACACACACACACACACACACACACCGCCGTCGTCTCATTATCCTTTCCCCATTTCTTCTCGCCAGGCTGTCCGTCAAGTTCATCTTTAGTTACTTTCTTTTGAAGCCCTTCCGGTTTCTTTGTACTGTTTTTTTTTTTGCTGCCCTTCACTCCCTTTTCTATTCATTTGCTTGGCTTCTTTTTAAATAAGTACGTGACTCATGGATTCCGCGTGCCGCTCGCCCTCCGCCCCCCAATCCCTAAGACAGCGGGTAAGCGAGTCCGTGGCAAGACAACGTGGTGGCGGCCCACAGATTCAAAGGGGGAAAAACCCAACGAACGTTACTACAAGGAGACCGTGCAGCCACACAGACATATAACTTTACATATGCATACGTGCATGCACCGCTGTCAATAGCCCTTCTGCTACGTGTGTGTGATGCGAACTCCTCAGTCGTTTGTCCAGTTTTCTTTTCCCTGCCCATTCGTGTTACGCCTTCGGTGCCAATTCCCCGTCTCTCTCAGACGCCCTCGCTCCTTGGCTAGCTTCTACTTGCCGTCCTTAGCCTTCGCCGGCTTCGGCTTCGGCATTGTGCGAATGAGTTGCTGCAGCAACGTCGTGTCGGACACCTTGAGGTTATGCACCGGGAAAGCCTTCACAACAACGCCAACGGTTGCAGCTGCTGCTGCACTCGGCGGCGCCGCCGCACCACTACTCTTCGTGGCAGAAGCAGCCCCAGACAAGGGCGGTGGCGGAACATTGTCTTCGTAGTTGAAGCCCGGCTTCCCTATGAAATCGCTCTTCGAGAAGCGCCCGTCCTTGCCGGTGGGTGTGATGGACTCCAACGTCTTTTTGTCAAGACGGGCGGCGATGCGCATGACGCCCGGGCCGCTGGCCGCGATGGCCTCCTCGAGAGAGTCCCCGTACCGCTTCACGCTCCCCTTTGCTGGCGTTGCTGCTGCTGCGACAGGCTTTGTCGAAGGCTCGGCAGCCTTGCTTGGCTCCGCGTCGCCGGGGCAGTAGTCCACTAACTTGGCGACATCAGCGGCTTCGTCGACCAGCACAGCGATGGTCCGAGAAACAGTAACTGTCTCGCCGTTGTTGTGGAATATCTTCGCGATGTAGCCCGCCTCAAAGGTGTTGGTGTAATCAACCACCGCCTTGTCCGNAACAGTAACTGTCTCGCCGTTGTTGTGGAATATCTTCGCGATGTAGCCCGCCTCAAAGGTGTTGGTGTAATCAACCACCGCCTTGTCCGTCTGGACGGTGCAGAAGACCTCGTTCTCCTTGACGAGATCGCCGACCTTCTTCTTCCACTCGACAATAGTGCCAGTCTCCATTGACGGCGAGAGCGCCGGCATGAATATGGGAGTGACGTTCACCCCATCTGGTGGCTCCGAACTCGCTCCAGACGTTTTTTCGGGCACTCCTTCTGCTGCTGCTGAACCACCAGCTGCCTCTTCGCCCTCCGGGACGAACTCATCGGCCTTGGCGACATCAGCGGCCTCGTCGACCAGCACAGCGATGGTCCGAGCAACAGTAACTGTCTCGCCGTTGTTGTGGAATATCTTCGCGATGTAGCCCGCCTCAAAGGTGTTGGTGTAATCAACCACCGCCTTGTC